GAGAGAGAGAGAGAGAGAGAGAGAGAGAGAGAGAGAGAGAGAGAGAGAGAGAGAGTTGACAGCGATCATGTTGTGCATGTGCGTGTGTTGTGGATGTTGGCATGCCCATGTTGTGTGTATTTGATGAGGAGAGAGAGAGAGAGAAGGCAAGAATGTGTCTGTTTCTTCTCACATCCTTGGTTATGTGTGTGTGTGTGTGTGTGTGTGTGTGTGTGTGTGTGTGTGTGTGAGAGAGAGAGAGAGAAGAGAGAAATAGATACAGAGAGAGAGAGCTGTGCTGACATGGCCCATGCCAATGAGCTCTTTGCATGTGGGGGTTGGGGTCCCAGGGAGCTGAGGCACTCTGACATGACAAACTGCTCGCAGAGTCCCAAACGCTGTGTGACTCATAGGTGACGCTAAGCAAAGAACTGCACATACACCAGAAGATCTCAAAAACTTTGCAAGGAACTCACTCGGCTACTGTATTCACCAGAGTACGAGAAATGGAACTGCCTTCCTACCTACTGAGTTGGCCACGAAACTGAGCCAATAACACAAGCTAGACAAAATGGAATCAGAACCAGGAAGTAGATAAGCAGTTGAATCAGACCCAAGGGTGGTGACTCCAGCAAGGTGGTGACTCAGTAGGGTGGTGAACCACAGGGTGGTGAACCAGGGGGGTGTGAACAAGAGGGGTGGTGAACCAGGGGTGTGTGAATAAGACGGGTGGTGAACCGAGGGGGTGTCGACCCCACGCTATGGTGGACTCAAGGCATGGTGAACCACTGCAGCGGTGGACCGGGGGGAATGGCAAACCACAGGGGCGTTGAACCAGGTGGGGTGGTGAACCAGGGGGGGTTGGTGGCTCCAGGCTATGGTAGACCCAAGGGGTGGTGAACCAGGGAGGTGGTGACAACACGGTGGGCCCAGGCTACGGTGGACACATGGGCCTGTGAATGAGAGGGGTCGGGTTGAACTTGTCCATATGTGCATCATACCAACTGTGCGATAAAGAGCGACTGAGTGACTGTTGCTGGAGGTTGAGACGCCGGTGATATGCTGTTGTGAATCGGTAACGTATCTGATGCAGTACTTCACCTCATTTGTGCATGGCACCAAATTAACCCAGTTTGCATGGCACTGCATTGACTTAATTTGCATGGCATTGCATCGACGTAATTTTGCAGGGCACTGCATGAATGACCCATTCTGTGAATGACGACGTATGAACTACCACATTCATTACCATTGGTGTGATCCCGATGAGGTGCTTGCTGCATGAATGACCACACATTGTGCGTGTATGTGAATAAATGATTCAGTGCATTCATCGTCACCAGTTTCGCAATGTTCATTGTCGGTCAACAGTTGGACATTCCCATTCTTTGTGGCCACGACTTCTTGCCGTCTGTCAGCCCGCTGTCGTGACTTCTGTAGCTGGACATCCCCATTCTTTGCCAGCTGTCGGCAAAGAAATCTCATGGCTTTTGTGACCACTTTTCAATAGCCATTCATGGGCCTCGCCAGACTACTCACGAAACGAAAGCAATCTGAGTGCTTCTTCCTGCAGAAGGTAGCAATACACCGTGAAGTTGACGCGGGGGAGATGATGTCCGCGATGAAAGTACACCTCAAGTGGAAGGATTGAGTTCCAGATGGTGCAAAACGCCCTGGAGTTGAAGTGGGGGAGATGATGTACGCCATGAACGTAAAGCTCGAATCATCTTCTTCGATTTTGTCCCATTTTGTGTAATCTCATCTTAGGTCACAATAGCTGCAATACTCATCAGGAAAGAAGCACTCAGTGCCACTCACATTCTTTTCATTTCGTGAGTGGTGCGGCGAGGGCCTATATTACAAATAGTGTGCTGTGACCACATGTACTGAACAAAGACGAGCTTAACTTCATTCACCAGGCCCTTCACCCGTACCTGTTTCCACGTATCCTCATCATTTGAGGCAAAGTGCTTTGGCTCTGCATGCTTCCATAGCTCATCAGCAACTAGCTTTATTGTTGCATCGTCGATACCCCGCTTAACTTTCCTGGGTGATCTGCTCCTCGCCATGGCCAAGCATGGATGCGATGTAGACATAGGGACCACCTCTACACCTCCCTTTCTCCCCCTGCATTGCACACTCCTGAGCGTAGCAACATGACTCTTGCAGACGACGTTCTTTGATGCCACATCTACCTCTCTGCTATCCGAGCTCAGTGGGACACTCAATCCTATCACCTGCATCATTATTTGCCACATTTTACGCACAAATACCCATCACACCATGCCAATTTCCCATATCATCAAGACGGATCCTTCATCCGCTTTGCACTTTTGCGGTAACTCCTGTTAACACAAAAAAGAACTATTACAGTTTCGAACAACAAGCAAGGCAAGGAACCTCTTGATCACCCCAACCCCAAAAGATAGAGCCCACAACTGAATGTGGCAAGCATAGATATCAGGGCTTACCATCAGCCAAAGTAAAAAAAATGCCAAATTGCTAATGAGCACCCAGGAGCTGGACAAAGCTCGGAGAAACACCAACTCCGTCTCCTCCATGGAAACTTAAAGCTAATATAAACAGGCCTCAAACCATGAAGGCCTAAATTACAAGCTCAATAATTTAAGTCTGGTTAATGCCATAGTACGAACCTGTTCTCTTGGAACTCAGGCGTGCATACGTAGGTAGATCATTTTGTAGGGCAGGTGAAGCTATGTTTTATCCATATAATGATATATAAGTTGATATAACCTGAATTAAGGCAATACCAAAACCAAAACCAAAACCTGAATTAAGGCAATACCAAAACCAAAACCTGAATCAAGCAGTGCTGGGCCAGCAACCGGCCGGTTGAGCTACCCCGGTCCAACCGGAGCCGGACCAGACCAGGGGGGGTAAACCGGGAAACCGGTTTTGAAAAAAAAGTGCCCAAATATCTTCTTTTTTTTTTTTTTCTTGGGCAGATTCCGACTGCGCTCTTCAAGAGCTGTCCGAATCCGCAATAAATTTTTTAAGGTACAACATTTTTCACGGGGCTTCGAGAGGGGGGCAGGGGATTATCATTGACACATTCAGGCAACTACGGCTTCCTCAGGGAGGGGTCAAATAAGCAAGTTCACTTATCCGACCCCCCCGTCGCTGGAACACTTCGTGGAGCATATCATTTGATACTGATACCCCACGAGCTGAACCAGATATGACGAGAAGAGGTCCTTGCCCGAAATTATAGCTCTTCCAGAGTATATTTCGACAGCAGAAAAGTTATGGTTCCAGCTTTCTGCTCGTGGAGGCAGA